TGAGGACTCTACAATTTAAGTTCTTCTGCTACTGTTACTATAAAATAAGTGGTAGTATTGGCATCTGATTGTGTATATCACTTATGTTATACTGCTATATTTTTAAATGTAAAAACAAAGATGTACTAAAAAATATTTTGAATAATTTAATACTGTCTGTATGGGTAACCTTTGAAGGTATATTCAAAGTCCCATTGCCTGAGATGGGCAGGAACACCAAAAACTCTCATGTGGACAGTAAAAGAGTCTGGAATTGTAGCATAGGGCATACCACTGTTGAAAGACTACCCCTTTTCAATGCCTATACTTGAATAAATTTACTATAGTGACAGGGTCACGTTAATGAATACAGGACTGCATTCATTTGTGTATTTTATATCTGCCTAGACTTACAGGTGCCCCTCTTTCAGTACCTGGTGAATATTGCAATTGGTCCCACTGCTTATTGAGTCATGTGCAAATGAAGATATACTTCCCCACTTGAAGAAGGGAAATAAGTTACCACCCATCGATGACATCACATAAATCCCATTTTATTGGCACAGACAGCCACGATGACAACCTCTGCCCATGGGACTTTCCCCTCTAACGCGTTTCACCCAAAAGTGCTTAGTTGTACGGGTAAGTCCTTTTAGGTGAAGCATGTTAGTGGGAGGTCCCATGGGCAGGGAATTCATTGTGGCTGTCTGTGCAAATAAATTGAGATTTATGTGATGTCATTGGTGTACGGCAGCTTCTTTCTCTTGTGTATTTGGAACAGGGACAGCTCCTCTTGCCACCTGCACCCGAAGCTTGGAGTGGAGCTGGAGGTTTCAGCTTAGTAGTGGAGGAGGAAATCTATTACATACTGCAACACTTGCCACTCTGTTGGAGATATGAGCTTTGCCAGTCAGTAAATAGTAGGCTAATAAAATATTTAAATAAAAAAAAATAAAAAGAAGCTTTTAGTAGCAGTACCGTCTATCAGCAGGGAAAAAAACCCAGGGCCAGTGCACCCAAGAGCAGCAGCGTTTTGGCAGAAAAAATGCTGACAGCTCCTAAACTCTCTTAAATGCTGCTAAACACTGGGAACCAGAGTTTTTTCTTTTCAAAAGAAAAAAAAAGTAAATAGTAGGCTGGTGCTAAACAAACACCAAAATTTCTGCACTGCAAGCAAAACCATGACAAAAGGGAAGGGAAAGAGGGGCAGCTGCCCCAGATGTAGCTTCTTCATTGGAAAGAAAGGGGGCGCCACACCGTGAACACTTCACTGCCTGCTGACTCCAGATTAGTTGTGGTTAACTGGAGAATTGTGGCCTCTTTTCTACTGAGCCATGGTTTTCTGTCCATCCTGACAGCCACTCTCCTCTCCTTCACAAAAACCACCCACAGCCAACACAAAAAACACATTGCACATTCACAGCGACCCACCTGCTCCAAGTTGCTAGAAAGCAAGTGAATGGCCACACATGCACAGTGCAACCTCCATGACAACTAAGGACAACCGGAAGATGGGGGCAGAGAATGGGTGTGCCTGAGAACGAAGGATGGCATGCGTATCTGCACCATGCATTAGTAGGGAAAGGGGGCGAAGTTCTGCATCTTCACCCTGGGTGCTGGACGACCCCATCTCAGTGTTGGCAGCAAGCAAACTTTCACTTTATAGGCTGAAATAAAACAAGTAAATTAACTTCTCAACTTCAAACAACTCTTCCAAAATGTAAACACAAAACACGGGTAACCGACTTTATTGCTGATTTTTAGGTTTTGCCTGTTGTTCTCATTCAAATACTCATTTATGAGTTCTGAAGTTGCAAGTGGACATGAAAGGCAGTGAACAGGATTTACACATGGGTAAGACATTTTATTTTATGGGAAGCAGGCTCGATTGAGACACCTCACTTGATGCATGTCATGGGAGCAGCCATAAAAGTGCTTCTCAGGATCTGTCATGTCTTAATTTCAGGAATAATGTTAAACACACTGTGGAAGCATTCGACTAGCTTTTTAACACTTGGTGGAGTGGTTGAACAAAGACAGATGAAGGACACTGAGTCAAAAAAAAAAAAAAAGTCAGGCTTGTTTGTAATGTATGTGAACTTAATCACTGACATCTCAGATAATCTTTACCATGTTAACAACATTTCCAAAGTAATTTATAATATTTCAAAATCTGTAGATTTCATATTACATTACATTGATGATCCTGCCATGAAGATCCTTGTTCAGACACTTCCTGTTATAGTTTGACAATGCTCTCTCTTCCAGTTGTTCTCCTGGTTGTCAAACAGCTCCTGATGTGGCCATCTCAACATACATTATGCAGGCATGGTCCACTGTTGTCACCATCTGGAAACCAACTCTGAGAAATGCCATGCAGCCATCGCTGGAGTGGATGAACATAGGAAATGTCTGTAAAGCGGTTGTAGGGGAACAGTAGCACTAAGATACAAAAAAGGATAAAAAAAAAACGACAGAAGAGAAATATGAGAGTCGCCTTGGGAAGGGGGGGTTATTTATTTTTTTGTCAAGGCTTGAAACAAGGGTGTGCCCATCCTGGAGTAATGCTGGCCAGCCATACATGGGTTGAAATTCGATCGATTTTTTGTCCAAAAATCGGACCTAAGAATAATCGGGCGATATTCGCTCTGTTAGTAGGTCAATGGCACCGGCCGATTTTTGTGGTTCCTCCCCTTTTTGGTGATCGGGCACGTTGGAAAATTCATTAAAAAAAAGTTTTTTGAGTCAATGATGGTCAAATCGTACAACGGTTTTCCAAATATGCGCATGAGCAGTGACCTGGAAGGAACAGAAGTTTCGCCTGTTATATGGGATGAACTTTATGACTTGGTCGGCCGATTTTCGAAATCATCGATTACTGAGAGAACGTTTTCGATTTTCGGATTAAAAAAATCGTTCGGAATTCAACCCATGTGTGGCCTGCATTAGGCTTTAAGGTATTCTCAGATACAACTAGCATAGTTACCCTAATCTGCCATCATATCAGCCTCCTCTAATCTCCTGCACATCAGAACTCAGATTGGGAGGGAATCCAATGGGTGAGAGTGAGAAGAGTGAATGATTTAGAAGGCCTTGTGCACACAAATTACAACATTGCCATTTAGATTCATAAGGCTTTTTTATCGATCTCATCACAGCTCTATTAAGTTCAATGTGTCTGTTGACATAGAGGCATTTACTAGGGCAGCATTCTCAAACTGAAACGCCCATATCAGTGAAATGTATTTTGGGGTTTTATGGGTGTACGCGCCTAAATACTGTGAATGCAAAAACGTTCATATTTTGTGCACATTTCTTATGCTGTATCCAGCAGCCTGCTTCTGGCAGCAAAATCCGGCATTTATATGAGTATTTAATTTTGCCTGTGAGCATGAGCTCTAAAGTTGGATATACACAATTATTTTTTTGTTTTGTTCAGACAACAGACTGAACAAACAAACAAACAAACAAACAAAAAGAATAGATTCATCTATCCACACAAGCGAGATGCAGGAATCCCCCCTCCCAATCAGGACATTGTATTCTGAGAGAAGGGAATCTCCATTGTCAGAATACACTGATCACCACTGCAGCCAGTTGGCTGCAAACAGCTGATCAAAGAAAGTTTTCCAGTGGAACAGGGAGGGCTACACACAGGTCAAAATTGGTCAATTTTCTGCTAAACAATCCGTGTATACCCAAGCGGAAGTGTGTACCTGCTTCTTCATTGTGCAGTCATCAAGCACTGGCTGAAGAGGTGACAACATTGCATTCATGAATGCGAAGGGCTGGTTCACACCACTTTTTCTGCATATCAGATGCATTTCTGCATGAGCATTTTTGATGCATTTTTTCCCTTTTTTTTCTTTTTCTCAATTCAGGACATATGTGTTCCGGTGCATTTTTAATGCTTTCCGGTGCATTGTTTATGCTTTCCGGTGCATTTCTGATGCATTTTTTTCAGTGTAGCACAGGGGTCTCCAAACTTCCTAACAAAGGGCAAGACTTCAGGAGGACTGGACTGGCCATTGGGAGTAGAAAAGCTTCCGAAGTCAGTGGGAGGTATGGCGCCCCATCATTGGTGTCATTGGGGGGAATTGTGTCCCATCATTGGTGTCACTGGGCCCATTGTTGGTGTCATTGGGAAAAAATATGCCCCTTCATTAGTGTCAATGGAGGGAATTATTCTATATTGTTGGTATTAACTGGATAAAAGCAAGCAAAGGGTGTAGCATATTTCATGTAGTTTTTGACACCCAAAAAGTCCCATATTTGTAAGAAATTGTTTTTGGGCTATTCTATTTAAAAACAAAACATCTGGGTGATCAATGTACATTACTAGGATTTTAACAAATGTTGTAGCTGATTCCTACCTTTTGTTGAAGAATGGTTGTTTCATAATTTCCTGTGTGGACTGATTCTGAACAGGAGGGTCTGGTTCATTGTAATCACCTGGTGCAGTCTCGGTGTTTTAATGAGAAAATTGTCTGCATCCCTTTAGCAGTATTTAAAGTGATACTAAACCCCGGACCCGGCATTCACTATATCTGGTCTCTCACAGTACACAGAACATGGAAATGCAGTTATTTTAGTAAATATAAACTGGTAAATACCTTTTCTCATCAGCAGTTAGAGCAGTCTTGTGACTTCAGCAGAGCACTGGTTAAAGCTTGTAGGAGGAGTTTTCTTTCTGCTCTAGGAGGACGTGAAACCTCTGACCCTCTGTCTGGACAGCGCTGATTGGTCTTGTGCTGATCACATGCACTCTCTCAAGAAAAAAATAAAAATAAATAAACCCTCTCTAACAATACACACCAAACTGAGTATGTGCATGTGACTATGGATTTAGTCTGTATCAGGCGGTCATTTCAACAAGAGAAGGGGCAGAGCAGTCAGGATCAAACAGCCTTTTAACACAATGCAGAGGATTGACCCCTTAGGTTCCACAGTAAGTATAACAAGCATGCTTTACTGCATATACAGACTGATTTTACTGTTGTGGGCAGGGGCGGACTGACAACTCATGGGGCCCCCGGGCAATAGTTGATCATGGGGCCCCTGTGTCCTTGCCCAAACTCAAAAAAGCCTATGAAAAAGGTACCAGGAGCATCTCATGGGGCCCCCTACTGACCCCGGGCCCTCGGGCAGTGCCCGAGTTTCCAAATGGCCAGTCCGCCCCTGGTTGTGGGTTTAGTAACACACTTTAATTTTTGGGAAGTATTTCATCAAAACTGATATTCCTATTGCAGGGGGTGCCTAAAATTTGACTTGTGTCTTAGTGCAGACTTCTGTGAAGATCATTTATTCAATACACAAGAAGGAAATGGCTTTTCTGTGGGGGGTTTTGTGCATCAACAGAGTTCAGAATAGGCCCAGATTGCCATACTGCAATGAATTTTACTGAAAATTACAGCAGCTACATATTGAAAAGGAAAGGTCATTTTTAATAACATTAAATTACAATATGGCTTGTGTAGCAATTGTATACACTATATTATGTTTCTGATTTTCTATATTTTTTTCCACAAAAGTGGAGTTACCCTTTAACCTCCCACCAATACTTAACTCATAAAATGAGCCAGTGGTTGTAAAGGTTCAAGGTTTTTTTTACCTTAATGCATTCTATGCATGACGGTAAAACCTTCAGTGTACATCATCCTCCCCAGTCCTCATGATACTTACCAGAGCCCCACTGCAATCCAGCGATATGCACGAGAGCCTCGGATCTCCAACTTCTGTCAATCACAGCCTATGAGCCAATGAGGAGAGTGAGAGGGGGGGTGGTCCGGGCTCTGTGTGTGAATGGACATGCAGAGCAGCAGCTCGGGAGCGAGCCTGCTTGGGTGTCCTGATAGCAAGCTGCTTGTTCTAGGGGCAATTGGTAGGAGGGAGGGGCCAGTAGCACCAGCGGGGGACCCCAAGAGGAGGAGGATCGGGGCTACTCTGTGCAAAACCACTGCACGCAGCAGGTAAGTATTTACTATTTTAAAAAAAAAAAAATTTAATTCACTTTAATGTCCCCTCAAGATTTACAGTAGTTGTAAAGCCTGAAGATTTTTTTCACCTGCATGCATTCTTTGCATAAAGGTAAAAAAAACCTTTAGTATGCAGCTCCCCAGCCCCCCTAATACTTACCCAAACCCGATCCTGATACAGTGAGGAGCATGAGAGCAACTGCTATCCAGGCTCTCTGCCTTCTCATTGGCTCAGAAACAGCAGTGGAAACCATTGGCTCCCGCTGCTATCGATCACAGCCAGTGATGACCGCTGTGTGTGTCTTATTGACACACAGAGAGGGGCTTGGAAGCAAGTACACACCAGTGTCCCATAATAAGCAGCCTGCTATGGGGGTTCTTAGCGGGGGGAGGAGCGCAGAGCTCCAGTGGGGGACCAGAGGAGAGGAGGATTGGAACTGATGTCTGCAAAACCCTTGCACAGAGCAGCTATGTATAACCAGTGGTGTATTTACCACAAGGCAAACTAGGCATTTGCCTAGGGCGGCATTTTTTAGTGGGGCAGCACTGTCCCCCAGAAGAAGGAACATATGCGGCATAGGGACCAGGTGGGATCCGATAGGGGCTGCTTGATGGTGTATGCAGAGCCTGACTGTCATTCCCGGGATGTCCTGAGCTGTGAGGTGTTAGTGGAAGGCTCTCTTGGGTGGGGGTGGGGATGGGGCAGGGGTGTTGTTGGTCACTGTCAGTTTGTTGGTCGGTGTCAGGCTCTCTCCGCCGGGGAAGGGGGGGGGGCATACGCTTTATGTGTAGCCTAGGGCAGCACAAAACCTAAATACACTTCTGTGTATAACATGTTTGTTATTTTACAAAAATAGTCTTTTTGTATCACTTTAACCTAGTCCCTTAGACTAGGTTCACATCTGTGTGGGTGGTGCCGCTGCGGATCTGCATGAAAATCCATGCAGCCACACCACCCGCACAGAGAAATGCAGATCCGCGGGCGTGTGCCATTAATTCTGGAATACTGGAAAACGCAACCGTTCTGGGTTCCCGTGCGGGCTGCGTTTTCAGAAGAAGTGCAGGGACTTCTTCTCTGTGTGTCATGGGGCACAGGAGTCCATTCAAGTCCAGGGTAAGTAAGCTTTTACCCTGGTTCTGCTGGATCCTGACTCCTCATGAATCTCCTGGATCTCAGCTGCAGAAGAGTCTGATCCAACAAACAAAGGTGTTGTTACATATTTGACAGTGGTGCAAACAAAGTAAAGTTCTTGAAATCAATAGAAGGTCTACCATGTCTACAAGATGCGCAATGAGAGGAAAAAAAAAAATTAGAATATTTAAATGTAAGAGAGACAATACCTACCAATAGAGTTCCGTTCAGGGGCGGACTGACCATTTGGAAACTCGGGCACTGCCCGAGGGACCGGGGTCAGTAGGGGCCCCATGAGATGCCCCTGGTACCTTTTTCATAGGCTTTTTTGAGTTTGGGCAAGGACACAGGGGCCCCATGATCCCCTATTGCCCAGGGGCCCCATGAGTTGTCAGTCCGTCCCTGGTTCCATTCTTCTCATACTTTTTCAGAAAACATAATTTTAGAACAATATTATTCCTGTACATCCATTTTATTAGTCTATTCACACCGACCTATTTTATGATCCAGAGTCACAACCTGAAAGCTTATGAACACCTAATGGTGCCTTCATAATTGGATTTGCACATTCAAGTCACTAAACACTTTGTCATTTAGGCCTTTGAGCCTGTAAATGGTGGCATGTGACGCGGTCTAATATCAGAGATCAAGTTGTAATGGCTCATAAGATGTTATATAAAAATGACAAATATTTCCATTGTACAAAATGAGTCCACATTGTTTTATTAGATTTCTTTGTTTTGCTCACGATATTTGCCCCCACTTTATCCTTGACCTCCCCTAACTAGTCCCAGTGCAAGCACACAAGACTTTTTACATCTTGCTTTGTTCTGCCTTTGACTTGTCCACACAATAAAGTCACCAATTGTGGCAATCTTCCATTGTGAGCTTAAAATTGCAGAAATAGTTTCTGATTCATTAAAATAGGCAAACATTTCCTACATGCTGCATGGATATCAATGCATTCCATTTGGCATAAAGAGAGAATCAGTTAACAAGATAAAAGAGTTGTCCATAAACTAGTGTAAGTATTTATATAACATAACGTCCATCAAAATTCCAAAACACAAGTGTTTAACCACTTCCTGTCCGGACACTTTTACCCCCTTCCTGTCCAGGGCAATTTTCAGCTTTCAGCGCTATCACACTTTGAATGACAATTGCGCGGTCATGCAATACTGTACCCATATGAATTTTTTTACTATTTTTTTGAGACAGATAAAGCTTTATTTTGGTGGTATTTATTCACCGCTGGGATTTTTATTTTTTTTACTATGTAAATGAAAAAGTCCAAAAATTTTGAAAAAAAAGTGTTTTTTTTTTTATAAAATTTTGTAAATAAATAATATTTCATCCCAAATCTTGGCCAAAATGTATTCCGTTATTTTTTTAGTAAAAAAAAAAATCCAAATTAGTTTATAACCAAACATTATAATTTTTAAACATTTTTTTTTACATTTTTATTTTATTTTTTTTTATATTATTTTTTATTTTTATTTTTATTTTTTATTTTTACATACTGTCACCCTAGCAGTATGGTGACACTGTACTACTTGTGGGGGGTGATGAAGATTTTTTTTTTTTTTTTTTTTACACTGATTGCTTTTACACCCATATAGGATGTAAAAGCAATCATTTCTCTTTCTCTCTGTCTGCATTCTTGCAGTCATTGAGAAATACTGAGTGAGCTGTGATTGGTCACAGCTTGTCACATGGTACAAGGCTATTGTGAATAGCCTTGTACCATGTGACCTCTGTGATCATTCACAGATTTCACACGTAGTAAGCAATGATGTCACAAGTGACATCTTGCTTACTACTTTGCATGTGATCACTGATTCGCCAATCAGTGATCACATGACCGGGACCTCGTACAGAGGTCCCGTCCGACGATCGGTGTTTCACTGTGTCCGGAGGACACAGCGGACACCGGATTGCGGTGGTGCGCGCTCCTAGGGAGCGCGCACAGCTAGAAAAGGCGGGTGCCGTTTAGGAACGGCAACCCGACCTTGGACTGCCACCGCCCTGCCGTTTATAAACAGCAGGCGGACGGCAAGAGGTTAACCACTTGGCTACCAGGCACTTATACCCCCTTCCTGCTCAGGCCAGTTTTCCAGCTTTCAGCGCTGTCGCACTTTGAATGACAATTGCGCGGTCATGCAACACTGTACCCATATGAAATTTTTATTAATTTTTTTTCACACAAATAGAGCTTTCTTTTGGTGGTATTTATTCGCTGCTGGGTGTTTTATTTTTTAAACAAAAAAAAGAAAAATATTTGAAAAAAAAAGTTTTTCTTTGTTTCTATTATAAAATTTTGCAAACAGGTAATTTTTCTCCTTCACTGATGTGCGTTGATGAGGCTGCACTGATAGGCAGCACTGATGGGCACTGATAGGCAGCACTGATGGGCACTGATAGGCAGCACTGATGAGGTGGCACGTATAGGCAGCACTGATGGGCACTGATAGGCAGCACTGATAGGCGACACTGATAGGCCGCACTGATGAGCTGGCACTGATGAGGCGGCACTGATGATGTTGCACTGATATGCAACAATAATGGGCACTGATAGGTGGCACTGATGGGCACTGATGGGCAGCACTGATGGGCACTGATAGGCGGCACTGATGAGGTGGCACGTATAGGCAGCACTGATGGGCACTGATAGGCAGCACTGATAGGCGACACTGATAGGTCGCACTGATGAGCTGGCACTGATGATGTTGCACTGATATGCAACAATAATGGGCACTGATAGGTGGCACTGATGGGCACTGATGGGCAGCACTGATGGGCACTGATGGGTGGCACTGACTGCTAGCACTGCTGGGCACTGACTGGCACACTGCTGGTCACTGATGGGTGGCACTGATGGGGGCACTGGTGGGTGGAACTGCTGGGCACAGGTGGGTGGCACTACTAGGCACTGATGGGCACAGCTGGGTGGCACTGCTGGGAACGGCTGGGCACAGGTGGGTGGCACTGCCTATCACTTGTGGGCAGCACTGCTGGGCACTGGTGGGTGGCACTACTGGGCACTCATCATCAGGACACTGATCATCAGTGCCCTAATGTTCGGTGCTGATCTGTCCTCTGACAATTGCCAGTTATCAGCAGTACTTCCTCGTGCTGTGCCAACGTGAGGAAATTGCAGCCGATAATCTGCAACTGCATTTACCGGTGATCTGCTGTGTCATTGGATACAGCTGATCACATGGTAAAAGGCCACTGTGATTGACCTTTTACCACATCACATGATCAGCTGTGTCCATAGGACACAGCGATCATGGAGATCGCCGGTTGAACACCCCCAGGGGCGCACAGGAGGGCGCGTTCTGGGAGGATGTCATATGACGCCCTCCCAGGACTGGACAACCACGCTGTAGCTATCATTCGGCTATAGCACGGTTGGAAAGTGGTTAAAGCAGTATTCTAAAAGCAAACATTTATTATATTGCAGGTTACCAATTCTTAGACACGATGGCTTCATTAGTTTTCTTTTTTAGGTGATCTGGCCAGTAGCAGGGCTGAATCTAGCCTGTCTAATGTGCAGTAAAAAATATCAGGGGGGCAGAGGATAGAAGGTCAGCAGGGCAGTGTAAAGAGGGTCAGCATGGTGGAGGAAAGGGGTCAGCAGGGCAATGTACGGGGTCAGCAGGGCAGAGGACAGGAGTCAGTAGTAAGTGATGCAGAATATAGATTTTGCCTAGGAGGAGCTTAAAGGGAGATGATCAAACAGAATCTGTCCCTAGTTGCTGTATACTTTGTACACATATAGCACAGATCTTGTACCCACAAAATACTACTTACTATGTCACAAGTGACAGTTTCACAGATACACATAAACCCCAAAAAGAAGGATCATTTTTAAAAATGAAGCGTTTCCATCACAAATGCTTTTCTGCACACTTTGTCTGTCTAAGGCTACATTAAAGAGGAACTTCATTAAAACCAGCAATAAATATTATAGTCAGAACTATGTAATGTACAATTTAATGTATAGAATTCATGGGTCAGGAGTAAGTAGCGTAGGAAACAACATATGGATTACAGCTCCAGGAAGAGCCCATCTGGTCATATAAGATTCCCCCCTTACATCAAGAATCCCCGTCAGGGTTCCCCCTCAAACAGATTCTCCAGAGTCCCCTCTCTACATCAGAGTCCTCCCCCTTACATCAGGGTCCCCAGAGACCCCTCCAACATCAGGGTCCTCAGAGTCACCCCCCTAGCATCAGGGTCCTTAGAGCCCCCCTTACATCAGGGTCCCCAGGGTTCCTCAGTCTTTCCTCAGGGACCCCAGAACCCCCCCTTATATCAGGATACCCAGAGTCACCCATTACATTAGGGGCCTCAGATTCACACCCCCTTACATTAGAGTCCCCTGAACCACTCCCCTTACATCAGGATCCCCAGAGTCACCACCCTAACATCAGGATACCTAGAGTCACCCCCCCCCCCATGTCGAGGTCCCCAGAGTCAATCTCTTTTGTGTCAGGATCCCCAGAGCACCCCCCCCCTCCTTACAGCAGGGACCCTAGAGTCACTCCCTTAAAGAAGAGTCCCAAGAGTTTCCCTAGTTACACCAGATCTCCTTTATACCAGGGTCTCCCTCCCACCTTACATCAGGGTTCCAAAAGCCCCTCTTGAATTATAGGTAACAAGAATGAAAGATAAATGGAATTGGGTTCTTCTAAAACTATCCACAGATGGATTGAACTTTATCCGGTTCCTGCTGAACTGGCCGAGTTTCGATCTATTTATGAGCAGGCTGGTTGTACTGAAGTTGATCTATCAATCTGTCAGGTTTTTTTTCATACAATTACTGCCGGCGGGGAAACAATACTCTGACAATGTGGAAACCTCCCACTGTCAGAATACAAAAGCGCAGCGAGATGGATTCCCCCAACAACACTGAATGTGCTAATGGGGAAATCAAGCAATTTTCTTTGCTTCAACCAGTCGTTGCTCTGTTCCTCCCCTTGTTTAAGTGACCACCTGTTATCTCCTGATAAAACAGACTGACCGGTAGGCATTTAGCACATGCTCAGTTTAGTGTGTATTGCTAGAGAGGTTTTTTTTTTTCTTGGGAGAGTGCATATGATCAGCACAGGGCCAATCAGCACTGTCCAGACAGAGGTCAGGGGTCCTGTATCCTCCTAGAGCAGAAAGAAAGCTCATCCTACAAGCTTTAACCAGTGCTCTTCCGAAGTCACAAGACTGCTCTAACTGCTGATAAGAAAAGGTATTTAGCAGGTTATATTTACTAAACAAATTGCACTTCCATGTTTTGTGTACTGTGGGAGACCAGATATAGTGAAACAGGGTCCTGGGTTTAGTAACACTTTAAGGAGCAATACTTTTAAAGGGACAACAGGGTGACCCCTACCCACAATCTGAATCTGGTTTACTCATTGTCACCACTTCAGGGAGTGGAGACCAGTGATCTACCACTGTACTCTATGACAACTGTCAGCCAGCCTTGTTGCCTTCATCATGTTATGATGTCATCACACTGTTGTAATCTACTAGAGCTTGAGAGGCTCTCACTGCTGGACAACCAGTGAGGAGATAAGAGACTCAGGGCCTGGCTTGTAAACAGACCACAAAATTAAGGGGAGTAATTATGACTTTCAATGTTATTATTTTTAATTTATAGGGACAATAAGCTGGTTTAGGTGGGAGGGCTTCTAGCCTCAAATATTTTTTAAATATCATGCCATCCCCAAAAATATGTTTTAAATATCATACCATCCCTAAAAATCCACTAGTGAAGCTGAATAATGAAAAATAATCAGCCAGGTAACCTCAAATCTCCTGTGTCCATGTGTCATTCCATTTTCCGGAATCCTATCTCCCCAAGTGCCTGTAATACCACAGTGTCTGTCCTCTCCAGAGCTGTCCGCCAACTGCTAGGCCCAGTTGTCTGACCACCTGCAAAGCTTGTTTAAAATTTGTCAGAATTTTGAGAGGCGTAGATAATGTGGAATAATAATATATGTGTTCCACATTAAACCGCACCAGCTCGTCACAGATAGGAAACAACAGTTGCCAACATTTCTCCATTCACTTCAGGAAATGCTTTCTTCATTGTACGAGAGGAAAAAATGAGAAGGTGCAGTCAAAGAATTCAGTTCTGGTTGTAGCTCAGAACAGCATTAAGGATGCATGATATAACATCAAACCATTACATCCTGTCATGTATTGCTCTAGAAGAAGAATTTCTATGATCTACGATACTTTTGTATAGCAAAAGACTCCGCTCTCTCCTGGCTCTCTTCCTATCTATCACAGCGCTCCTTCAGTGTTACCTATAATGCTACCACCTCCTCTTCACTCCCCCTCTCTGTTGGGGTCCCTCAAGGCTCTGTCCTCGGGCCCCTTCTCTTCTCCATCTACACCTCCTCCCTTGGCCAACTGATACACTCTCACGGCTTCAACTACCATCTATATGCCGACGACACACAAAAATATATCTCTCTACCCCTCACCTCACCCCTTCAGTCTCCACCCGTATCACCAGCCTACTAATTGACATATCGGACTGGATGTCGCTCCACTTCTTCAAATTAAATCTTTCCAAAACTGAGCTTCTAGTTTTCCCCCCAGCCCCGTGCCCCCTCCCCTGACTTCTGCATCAAGATCAATAACACAATCATCAGTCCCTCCCCTCAAGCCAGAGTACTAGGTATCATCCTAGACTCCGATCTGTCATTGCAGCCCCAGGTCCATTCGCTGACAAACTCATGTAGACTTCACCTCCGCAACATCTCCAAAATACATCCGTTCCTAACCCCGGAAACTACTAAGCAACTCATTCACTCCCTCATTATATCACGCCTCGACTACTGTAACTCCCTCCTCATCGGCTTACCTCACTTCAGGCTATCCCCCGCTTCAGTCTATCTTGAATGCTGCGGCCAGACTCATCCACCTTACTAACCGCTCCCTATCCACCACCCCTCTCTGCCAATCCCTCCACTGGCTTCCGATTGCTTAACGGATAAAATTCAAAATACTAACATTGATGTATAAAGCTGTTCATAATACTGCCCCAAACTACATCACCGATCTGGTATCCAAATACCATCCAAAACGTACTCTCCGCTCCTCACAAGACCTCCTACTCTCTAGTTCCCTGGTCTCCTCCTCCCATGCCCGTCTCCAGGACTTCTTCAGGGCTTCCCCCATCCTCTGGAACTCCCTAACCCAATCCATCAGACTATCACCTACTCTCCTCACCTTTAGGCGCACTCTGAAAACCTATCTCTTCAGTGAAGCCTACCCCACCCTCAGCTAATTACTGAACTCCTCCACTCTTCCTACCACTCCAACCCCCACAGCTATTTCCTCCTGTACTACTATCCCCTCCTTCCTAGATTGTAAGCTCCAAGGAGCAGGGCCCTCGAACCCATCTTGTATTGAATCGTATTGTTACTGTACTGTCTCATGTACTGTCTCCCATTATAATGTTTTAATGTACAGCGCTGAGCAAACTGTTGGCGCTATATAAATCCTGTATAATAATAATAATAATATAGAAGAAGTGAAACCCCATCTGGGTCTGTTTTGGAGTAGTGATGGGCTGAACACCCCCCTGTTAGGTTCGTGGTCGAACATTTGAACCTACCGAAAGTTCGACCAAGAACTTCGAACAGGGACAATTTACAGAGCGGTATCTTACCGCATCTGAGTATGCAGTAAGATACTGCTCAGTTACTAAAATACTGCATGAATTATATTATTAGGTCATGTGGTATTTTAGTAATGAAACATTCATTCAGGTTTCCTGCTGACAGCTGAATGTCAAAAGAATTGTCAGCATTGTCTGACCATTAAACATTTTTTAAAAAAGACAGCAAAGGTGTCCCCCCTCCCATCCATACCAAGCCCTTTGGGTCTGGTATGGATTTTGAGGGGAACCCCCACGCCAAAATGTAATAAAAATGGTGTGGGGGACCCCCCCAAAATCCATACCAGACCCTTAATTGAGCATGCAGCCCGGCAGGTCAGAAAAGGGAGGAAACGAGCGAGTGCCCCCCCTCCTGTACCATACCAGGCCATAGGGCAGTGCTTTGGGGAAGGGGGGCTCCCCCCAAAAGCATCTTGTCCCCATGTTGATGTTCCCCACAATCCTGGCCCCCAGATCCCCCCCCCATGTGAATGAGTATGCGGTAAAGAGTGTAGTGTAAAAATAGACAGGAGACAGTCTTTGACAAGTCCTTTATTTAAAATAAAAAAAATGTCCCCGAAGTAGATCCAACATCAATCACAATGCCTGCCGCCACCTCCGACCTGAAAAAAAAAAGCAAAAATTAATCCACTCCACCCTTGACGCTGGCTCCTGCCGTCTTACAGATGCAATGACAGTTCTTAAATAGGGTCATGATATCACAAGGGGGCGAGATCACCCCAGCCCCTTGTGACGTCATCATGCCCTGTGATTGGCCAAAGCATTGCACCTGACCTGTCAGGAACCAGTGCATTGTGAGGCGCGTCGAGCGAACTTACGTTGGACTCGAACATCCATCACTATTTGCTAGAATTCCCTTTACTTCCTGTCTTGAAGACACAAAGGAAATGAGTGAAAATCTCCCTGATTTCTGGAGAAATTCTCCTTCTTCTACCAGAACAGGTGTACTCATCGGGAAATTTCCCTTTTCTTCCGGCAACTGAATTTTTTGTTTTTTTATTTCCAATTGATTTCTGTCCCAGTGGCAATGGCCATCAGGTCAAATGGAAACATGAATCTCTTCAATAAGGACACGGATAGCAATAAAAACCTGATCAAGGGTCTAACCCTACTCTAATCTATCCAAAACGTTAAAAAAGGTTTGGCCTTATCACATTAGTAAATATAAACACAGACCTAAGATGTAGATTCCCTTGATTGGTACTACCCTGGCCTGCTGAAGGAGGTGTAGTGCCTTTACAGTACTGTGTATGCCCTGTTGTGTACTTGTGTTGGCCAGGAGATGGACACTATTCTCCATAGTATGCATAGGCTAGATGGGGGAGGGCAGTTCATTGGCCATCTTTATTAAAAAAAAAAAAGTGGACTTATCTTTAAAGCTGGAACTCCAACCAAACCAATTTTTTCCTCTGTGGTTACCAGGACAGAAAATTAGGGGAATCTCCCCATACGGAGGTTTGCTTTAAAATGTAGTCCAACTGACCTCCAAATACAAGCCCTTCCTATGTAAAAAGCTTCACGCATACATGATTTCAACTTGTATTGCTTGTATGGATTTGGTATTCATGCTGATTCCCCAATATCTACACTTGCAGGAGGCAGTGGGGGCCATAAGATAAGGTGACCTTCTCATGTATCTCCTAGGGCTCTGGCCAAGATAAAATGTACTTCTTGCCTCATAACAAAATTTGATTTGTGGATTGCCATTCATGCTGAGGATCACATCCCAAAACTTAAAGAGGAACTGTAGCTGCTGACTTTTAATAAGCAAGCACTTAACAATCCAGGAATCCAGCACTATCCTGTCCCGGCTCAATTCTTCACTAGTCTTTTTGGATGTGGGAAGTTGGCTGTGACTTTCTTTACAGCCAAGTTCCCACTGTGCATGCTCAAGTAGTCCTGCGTTTTCTCATTGAGCCTGCACCTTCATGGGACCTGTGATGTGTGCCTGGGTGATCTGAGCGGACGTAGGGTGATTACCTTTCAGAAATATGTACCCATTCCAAGAAAAAAAAAGACTCAATAGTGGTAGAGGTAGATAGGGGGGAGGATGAGAAAAAAAAAACCTCCCTTTTTATATTTCAACATTTTTATTGAAATGACAGGACAATAACAAAGATATCGTTTGAACAGTAGTCATTTCTCAAGTAGATATTATGACAAAAAAGCATACGTCTGTCCAAAAGTTATTAAAGACAATGTAAACCAACATGGAACTCCCTTTTTAGCTGAAGTTTTGCTTTAAAGAAAACCTGTACTAAGAAAAATACAAAGGTTGCTATTGTGATCTCCTTCTGAAAATGCTAGTTGGCTAGTTATCATGCTGACCCTCTGTTTCCAATTCTTTGAGTCACTGATGGGGAACCATCAGGCAGAATAGGACTTTGAATTTCCTGGTCTACATACATGTTTAGGGTCACCTTCAGCAAGTGGGTTAGCCTAACAGCTAGGCAGTCAAAATGCATATATTCAAACAAAAAGTTGAGTTGGGTTTCAGCCTTTCCGCCAGTGCCCCATGAAGGCCCTCTGGACAGTACACTGAGGCTGGTCATCAGGTCCTCTTTCTTCTATTCTCCTGGTTGGGCCTTCCTCAATGATGCAAGAACAACACTGATGTAATCATTAAATAAATCAAT